GGCCTAGACCGAGGGTGCATTTTTTGGCTTTTACTCTACTAAAGAGATAAAATACTGCTGATAGATACAGAAGGGGAACTCTGCTGGCCTAATGTTAAGGAACTGCACTGTGAACCCAGAGGTACATGGTTTGAATCTATCAGCTGCTCCATGAGAGAAGGATGGGGAGTCTCCTCCCATGTGGTTCACAGCCTCTGAAAACCTGCTGGAGGGTCTGCTATACGTTGATTCTAACAACAGAAAACACAGAAAGGAGAAGTTCCTCTAACATTAGGAACTTGGTCATAAACCTCTGAAGGAACAGTAAGTCAGGGTGCAGGCCCCACGAAGACTCCAGCTACCTGCAAACAACTCCTCACTAACGGACTTGTTATCCAACATGTCACATGTACAACTGTTGTCAAAAAATCTCCTAATCCAATTATTTTAAATATTAATTATGTACAAGTGGCATTAACACACACCAAGGTGGAAAATAAGAGAAAAAAATTGCCTAATGGTTATAGTTACATGATATCTTGACTGGGGCGTGATGCTCAGCGATCTGGCAGTTAGGTGATGATGGAACTGGGAAGTCATACAATAATTAATTTAGCAATTATGAAATAATGTCCTCTCTTTTGTGATCTGATGCACTCATCCGCCATTTTCACATACTAACAATTTTTGCATAAAACCTTTGGAACCAGACCATGTGGCTAAGTGATTCGTGGACTTATTTACTAAACAATAATTATGTGGCAAGCACAGTTAAAACCACTGAATGTAGTAATCTGTTTAAGTCCCACAATATTTTTAAAAAGTGTTGTGGTTTTAGGTGCTTTTGAGATGAGCACAATTCACAGAGATGCTATGAATAACAGACCTGAACCCTGTCCTATCTTGTGCCATCCTCCTCATCTCTGACACACCGGAGCCCATTGCTGCGGTCACTGTGTCAGTCCACCTGGCTGAAGGACTTCTTCTCCTCGGCCTTCCCTCCACCTTTCCAAGCTTACTGTCCTTCTCCAAGGAATAGCCCCTCTTAGCAACATGCCCAAAGTTTACGAGACAAAGCTCCGCTAACCTTACCTCCAAAGGGCACCCTACCTGCACCTTCGTCAATACTTATCTTTTTGTTCTTTTAGCAGTCCGTGGGATATTCAATATTCTCCTCCAATATCACACACAACTCAAAGGCATCAAATTATCTTCTGTCACCCTTATTCAGTGTTCAGCTCTCAGATACACAGCAAGTGACTGAAAAGACCATGGTCTGAATCAGGCCCACCTCAGGGCAATACGTTTTCTGATCTCCTGACTTTTGATACCAAGTGAACTAATGATGGATACGAGGTGAAGCTGTTGACAGTGTCAGTCTTTTCTCCATCTAACATGGCATTATCTATCGCCTATTACATGCAAGCAAATTACTGCTGAAGATCATTCAAAAACACCTAGAACAGTACGTAGACAGGAAACTGCCAGAAGTCCAAGCTGGACCCAGAAGACGTCGTGGCCCCAGGGATATCTGATGTCAGATGGCTCCTGATTGAGAGCAGAGAGTATCCGAAGAATATCTATTTATGCTTTGTTGACTATGCAATGCATTTGACTGTGTGGATCAGAACAAATGATAACTAACTTTGAGTGGGAATCCCAGAACACTTAATGGTGTTCATGCAAAACCTGTACCTTAACCAAGAAGCTATTATGTGAACAGAGCAAGGGAACACTGAATTGTTTAAAATCAGGAAGGGTGTATGTCAGGGTTGTACCCTTTCTCCGCACCTATTCAACTGGTATGCTGAGCAAATTATTTGAGAAGCTCTATTTCAGTAAGAAGCTGTGCGTATTATCCCCATTTTAAGGATAAGAAAATAGAAGCAGAGAGTCACCAGCATAGAAATATTAATAGTCATAAATCATTTTTGTTGTCAGTCCTATCACGTTATTGTTGACTCCTGGTGGTGCACACGTGCAGACGGGCGTGCGCCTTAGAAACTACAAGCTTGTAACCCATGAGAAGCAGATCCCAGGGCCAATGTTCTGAGAGAGCTCTGGGTGGATTTGAACTGCCAACATTTTGGCTAATGGCCAAGTGTAAAACCATTTGTGTTATTCAAGGTCTCCTACACTAGTGAGGAAAACTCAATCAATCAATCATTCCTTGCCACTGCACTGGAAGCGACTCAGAGCTAACCCTCCCACAAGTTTGCAGAGGCTGCAAAGTGCTTGCAAGGAGATCGCCCATCTTTCTGTCATGAACTCACTGGTGGACTGAAACCAGCTGAAAGCTTTTGGGTTAGTAAGACTATGCCTGCAGGGCTCTCGATGAGAACTACTTATAAATAAACAGCCTCAGTGACTTTCATTAACAGATACAGCTTTAGGGAAGTCAGCTGTCAGGGACCTCTCCAAAGTCCTGAACAGAAATAATGTCAGCTTAAACACTAAGATGCCCTCGATACATGTCATAGTCTCTTCAATCCCCTGCTATGCATTTGAGAGTTGACCAATGAGAAAGGACCACAGATTAAGAAGCATGTCTTTGAGCTGTGGTGCTGGAGAAGAGTACTGAACTATCAAAAGAACAAACAGTTCTATCTTGGACAAAGTGCGGCCAGAGTGCCCCTTGAAGGCCAGAATAGCAAAGTTTCATCTTATATACTTTGGACATACTGTAAGAGAGCTATTCCTTAAAGAAGGGTACCATGCTTGGGTCAAGGACTGCAGCCTCCAATATGGATTGAGGCTCAATGTCAAGAAGACAAAGATTCTCACCACTGGGCCAATTGACAACATCAGGATGGATGGTGAAGAGATTGAGATTGTACACAGCTTTAGTTTGCTTGGCTCCACAGTCAACACTCTTGGCACCAGTAGCCAGGAAAGTAAAAGACGTATTGCCATGGGAAAGTCTGCTGTTAGGGACCTCTCCAAAGTACTGAAGAGCAATGGTGTCTCTCTGGAGACTAAGGTGTGCATGATACGGGCCATGGTCTTTGCAATCACTTGTTATGCATCAGAGAGTTGGACAATGACTAAGGAGGATAGAAGGAGAACGGATGCCTTTGAGCTGTGGTGCTGGAGAAGAGTATTGAAGGTACCATGGACTGCCAAGAAAACAGATTCATCCTGGAGAGGGTCAAACCAGGCAGCTCCCTGGAGGCAAGGATTCTGAGGCTCCGTCTAACATACTTTGGACATGTTGTAAGGAGGGACCGGTCCTTGGAGAAGGACATCATGCTTGGGAGGGTGGAGGGACAGTGCAAGAGAGGAAGGCCCTCTATGAGGTGGATTGATTCAGTGACTGGGGTAATCGGGATGGGAGTGTTGGAGACGGTGCGACTGGCACAGGACAGAGCAGAGTTTAGGGCTGCTGGACATGGGGTCACTATGAGTCGCAAGCGACTCAACGGCACATAACAACAACCACCACCACCATGCTTGGAGAGGTGGAGGGTCAGCAAAGGAGAAAGAGATTCTCAATGAGATGGACTGACACACTGTCTACAGCAGTGGCCTCAAGTGTTTGCGAGATTGTGAGGACGGCGCGGGATTAGACAGAGTTCAGATCTGTTGTTCACAAGATCTCTTACTCAACTCGACAGCCCATAACAACAACAATTTCTTTAATACTGAGAACCACTTAACCACCGTCAGGAGTTACCACCAGCAGGCAGCTGGCTTCAGAGGCCACACTTTCAAGCACAGTCATGCTGCTTTGAGACGTGCTTATCCACTAGAGCTTACAGGACCTGGCTTGAAGAGGCCACGGCTAGTCTCTGGCCTCTGTCATTCCTCCCTCCGGCTCTACACATCTCACCCACTGTCACCTGCACTCTCTCAGCTGCTGTGGGCAACTGACCAAAGTGTGTGTATACGCTGATGCCTAAACCTTTGCAGGACCCTTCAGAAACCTGACAGCTCAAAGTGCCTCCAAGCTGAGGCATCACCCACTTGGAAACTACCAGGAAGACACATAGCAAGTAACTCGCTTCAGAGGCAGCAGCAGGCCAATACCATAACGCCTATATAACACGGCTCCCAAAGCTCACCTTTACAACCAGAGTAAAAAGCTTCCATGAAACGAGATGCTCACACTTGACCTATACTGTTTCTTAATTCTTTATTGTCATGCTAGGTAAACCACAAAATATGCCTAAGAGCTCTTTGGTTCCGTAAATGGATGTGTTTCTCAATGAAAGAAAAAAAACACACAGCTCATATCATGACACTGAATCAAGTATTGGCAAGAGAGAGCTTCGCTCAGAAGCGCAGGCCCTTCCTTAAAGGATGTCCCAGCCCAGTAAGCCACACTAGGTCAATTCTGATCCCTAGGAAGCACGGGTGTTTCAGGGTAGAACTGGGCACAGCACTTCCTAGAGGGCTAGGCCTTTTCTTTAAGGTGCACTGCTGGGTGATCTGAAGAGCCAACCTGCTGGTTAGGAGACAAGAGTTAAATAATTTGTGCCGTTCAAGGAACCCTTGTTGTTGTGTGCCATCGAGTCATAACCAACCTACAACTGACCCTCCAGTGGGTTTTCAGAGGCAGGAAACCATACAGAAAGAGAATGCTCATCTTTCTCCCACAGAATAACTGGTGGATTCAAACTCAGCGCACTCGGTTTGAAAGCATAACTCCTTACCCATAAGCCAGCAGCACACTCAGAGACCCCCTAGAGCCATGGAAATGCAGCCATTGTTTAAGAATTCAATTACCTTTCCATACGTATACATTTAAAGAGAGGTAGCTAAATATAGCATAACAACAAAAGTATTCCCAAATCTTGCTGCAACATTTATTTACACACACAAACACGAATAAAAGACTGCAGATCCCCTGTATTTAGATTTCCCGGTACAAGAAAAATATCAGTGCCACTTTTAGAGCAAATGAATCAAGACACTAGTGATTATCTTGCAAGCATCCCCTGCAATTTCAGAGATTAACATTTAGTCAGATACCAAGTATGTCAACAAGTCATATTTGCTGAGAAGCAGCTTGTCCAACTTACCTATTGGGTTTCTATCAAAGAACAATACTGGAGCTTTCAAAATTGACTCGAACATTTTGTTGTGTAGATTTTGAGAAGAATTAACCAGGATGTAGAATACCAGGAGAGATCGTGCTATGCCAAAAAGGACAGTGGCCACAGTTAAACCTGAAAGCAAAAAAACACCCAGCTCTCAGAGAGCTCAGCCCGTCTGCAAAGCTACTACTCATTGCATTTCTTCCATAAAGGGTGTGTGGGTCCCCCAACAGCAGGTGCATTCACGGTGCATCTTCAAGAGAAGAAGCAGCTTCATTCATTTTGTCTGAGTTGAGAGCTGTGATGGTGAGGGGATTCGAGTATAATGTAAACCTTGATCTTGGGTTTCCTAACTCAATTCGCAAGAGTTATTAAAAAATCGGAAATTAGAACTGCAATTATAAAGTCGTTGGGCTGCTGAAATCCATGTTCTCCTGTGTACCTTTCCAACAAAAACAATTATTTCAAAAACAAACGGATCTTTCCTTCTCCATATTCTAAATTTCCCTATTCATAAAATGTTTCATAATCTGAAACTGTGCTATTGTCATGCCCACAGGTGATACTAATGCAGGACTGGAAAGGACTGAGCATCTCCTTGTAGAAAATGCCCAGGTCACTTTAAAGAATTAGAAACTAACGTATTAAATCATGAATGAACAGAAAAAAAAGAAATTTACAAGTAATCAATCTAAATAAATAAGAAATCTCTCATTGAGAGTTTCCACATACATGGAGCATTTTGAAATGAAATTAAATTACTTGTGTCACTAGTGACACAGAAATGACTAAACACAATACACATAAAAATTAAAATAACTTTCTAGTATCTCTTCAAGTCACAATATCAACAGAGTTAGGATAGCTTTTGTGATAAATATTCCACTGGGAATTTTTTTTCCTCTTTCAGATGATATATTGTTGTTATTTAAACTGTGAAAGCAGCTCAAAAGCCTCCACTCCGTCAACAGGCCTCCTCTGTAGCCTGCCATCCAAAATGAATATATAACGGAATCCTTTTTTCTTCTTCCTTCAGGTCTACATGGACCACCAATTCAGAAGGTAAATAGCTAATGGATTTAGATTTCTCAGCAACCGATCAATGAATTAAATACTATATTGAAATGAGTGGGCTCATACAAAGATACCTCACTCCCTCTTTCTTTGAGCAAAGCTTGTATGAGCATTTGCTGTGGGGACAGACGTTTAAAATTTCAGATGAGGATTTTCTTTAAAAAGTAGCTAATGCTACATATATTCTAAGCATTCTCCTAAGAACAGAGGGCTGCGCTGACATTAGTCTGGCAAGCCAAATGTTAAATTAATCACACAGTTGGGAAGGCGATAACATTGTGATCCGGAGGTAAGAGAGGAGAGGAATCCTCACTCGCAGACACAGGATTTGTCCCTGCTTAGTTTCCCTCTTAAGTAATTAGTGAAGCCCATGAGATGAGCAGTATGGTGACGGGAGCTTTGCATACCAGGGAGGGAATAATGCTTTTATTTTGGGTGCTTTGCTTCCAGAGGATTGCATCCAAGTTAAATAAAAGACAGGGTTTATTCAGACAGAATTGGAACAATCCGAACCACAGGGTGGGGATCCGTTTCTAATCCCCTTGCCCATCCATATAATGATATAAGATTTAGCAAATGCAACCTATTAGAATAGACAATAGCCGCATATTTCCAGTGGCTGCCTTTGTAAATGCTCAATCCCGGTTTAACTTTCACAATCCAGTACAGAGCAAATTAAGAGTCTTCATTCAGCCTCTTTCTTCCAGCGGATTTTTTTCAATAATTATCCTAATTAATTCATAGAGTAAACGCGACTCTGAATCTGTTAAGACATTACTGAGTTACTCCTGGAAGCCCCAGTTACTCAGACAGGCTCACTGTCAGCACCTCAGACTCTCACATAATAGACCAAATGATTGAACTTTACCTGCATAAATTCCTAAGTACCAGTTAAGATCTAGCGTCTCGGTTCTGTTTCCATTTATGGTGGCATTCAGCGCACTCTGTTCATTGGCCCTACAGGAAAAGAAGAAAACTAATAAGACACAGATGGGGTTCAGATAAATATAAAAACAAAAGAGCAAACCCAAGTTGGGAGAAACAGTTCATACTGGAAAATAACTTCCGGCTCGCCCAGCCTTGTGTGTCTATCATAGAAAAATTCAATTTGAATCATGCCTTTCAGTTCGTAAAATTGTCTGGGGACATGTGACTGGGGATCAGACATGGGTGCAGACCACTCCGGGTCACACTTCACCAGCAAGAACTTTAATTTTTTTCCTCAGGTAAACTAAGTGAGGATTAGACTAGAAGGCTGAACAAACTCCACCTCTCCCCCAGCTCTGCGGAAAAGTGAGGTTTCAGAGGGATTTTGCAGAACACTGTCCGTCAGGAAATAACTCACCAATAAGAAAGCCACCAATCTTGAAGCACAAAGAAGACCTAGAGGAGGAGACACAGTCAGAAACCAGCATCACTGGCCTTTTCCAAACTCTTCAACATGTGCGGCCAACCCAAAGGCACACGGTTCGAATCCACCAGCTGCTCTAAGGGAGAAAGGTGGGCAATCTCCTCCAGCACAATTTACTGTCTCTGAAAACCCCCTGGAGAGTCAGCCGTCGGTCAGTTCCAACTCGGTATAGAATACAACATGAGAGGGCCTCGATCGGATCATGATGAGTGAAATATCTCAGTCACATAAGGACAAATACTGCACAAGACCACTACTGTGAAAACAGAATAAATGGAAGGAAAAGCAGAAAAGGGGCAGAAGAAGGGAGGAAATCATTAGGATAGCAGAGGTTAACAGGAGTTGGTGGTGAAGGAAGAGGAAAGATTTCATGAGGACTTGAAGACAAGGGGTAGTAATAGGCACAAAGCAATAGTAACTAACAATACAAAATGCAATGTAGACAAATGACTGCATAAAACAATGTATACGGGGGGAGGAGGTTGGGCAGGGAGAAAAGTGCAATAATGAATGAATGGAAAACCAAAGTCTCTGTAAACGTTGATTAAAATTAATAAAACAAAAAAACAACATACATGAACAATGTATTGGTGGTAAGGAAATCAGTAAAAATAAAAACAACAAAAACATAATCAAGAGGTTCTAGGGGACTCAAATAGTCCCTGACAATTATATCTAAGCCAAGAGCAACACCCCAGATAACAATGCAGATGTATACACCACACCACTCTGCATCCCTTTGTTTCCTACAGATAGAATTTCCCAAACTAAAACCACGAAAAGAGCCAAAGGCCGTAATACTTGGATATCAGTCACTTTTTACTCTAAGAACATCAAGTCCGCAACTTACCTGAGCTGCCGCATTCAGGAGAAAAAGGAAAATGATGATACACCAATGAGAACCAGCGGCAAAGTAATTCTTGTAGGCCTTAAAACCAACTTTTCCTTCAGAACGGCTCTCCTCGGGCATGGTAACCTGGGGTTCTTCAGTCTGTGGAGACAAAAAAAAAAAAGCCAGTAAGACACAAAAATGTATAACAGGGTATGAAAGCATTTAAAAAATGCACCCTGTAGGCAAAGTTGTGAAAAAAGAACACATCTCATAGCAAACAAGGATAATGTAATGCCAATAGTATATATGTATTTCTTCTCAGAGTCAGCCACAGTTTGTTATGATCCACACAGTCAAACGCCTTTGCATAATCAATGAAACACAGATAGACATTCTTCTGATACTCCCTGCTTTCAGCTAAGATCCATCTAACATCAGCTACAATATCCCTAGTACCACGACCCCTTCTAAACCCAGCCTGGACTTCTGGCAGCTCTCTTCTGATATACTGTTCTGGTCATTTTTGGATAATCTTCAGGATATCTTGCTTGCATGTGAAATCAGTGATACTGTGCTGTAGTTTCCACACTCTGTTAGGTCACCCTTCTTTGGAATAGGAACAAATATAGATCTCTTCCAGTCAGTTGGCCAAGTGGTTATTCTCTAGATTTCTTGGCACAACTTGCACCAAGAGGCAATTGTCAGAACAGAGCAGGGTAACACTGCATGGTTCAAAATTGGGAAAGGTGTACGCCAGGGATGTGTCCTGTCTCCAGATAATCTGGGAGGCTGGGCTCTATGAGGAGAAATGTGGCATCAGGATTGGTAGAAGATCTATTAACAATCTGCGTTATGCAGATGACACAACCCTGCTTGCTGAAACTGAGGAGGACCTCATGCACTTGCTGTGGAGGGTCAAGGACTGCAGCCTTCAGTATGGACTGAGACTCAATGTAAAGATGACAAAGATTCTCACCACTGGACCAATCGTTAACATCAGGATGGATGTGAAGAGATTGAGATTGTTCACAGCTTCAGTTTGCTCGGCTCCACGGTCAACACTCTTGGTACCAGCAGCCAGGAAGTAAAAAAACGTATTGCGATGGGGAAGTCTGCTGTTAGGGAACCTCTCTAAAGTACTCAAGAGCAACGGTTTCTCTCTAGAGACTAAGGTGCGCATGATACCGGCCATGGTCTTTGCAATCACTTGTTATGCATCAGAGAGTTGGACAATGACTAGGGAGGATAGAAGGAGAATTGATGCCTTTGAGCTGTGGTGCTGGAGAAGAGTATTGAATATACCATGAACTGCCAAGAAAACAAACAGATTCATCCTAGAAAGGGTTAAACCAGGCTATTCCTTGGAGGCAAAGATTCTGGGGCTTTGTCTGACATACTCTGGACATGTTGTAAGGAGGGACAGGTCCTTGGAGAGGGACATCATGCTTGGGAGGGTGGTGGGCAGAGCAGGAGGGGAAGACCCTCTATGAGGTGGATGGATTCGGTGACTGGGGTAATCGGGATGGGTGTGTCAGAGGCAGTGCGATTAGCACAGGATAGAGCAGGGTTTAGGGCTGTTGTGCATAAGGTCGCTATGAGTCGCAAACGACTAGACGGCACATAACAACAACAACAACAACAACAATGCTAATAGCATTAATCTCTAATACCCTAGTGGACAGAAAATCATGCTCCCAAGCCAAAGGTGAGTGACTCTACTCTGAGGACCTCAGGCCTGTCTTTACTTGTTTTTGGTGAAACATTCTTCTAGGTCGTGTAACCCTGGTATGTCCTGGTAACTCGTGGTTGCTGTGATGCTGAACACTGTGACACTGATGTGTCAAATGCTAGAATGGTTACCCATGGTGGACATGTTTGGTGGAGCTCCCCTATTAAAACAAGCTTGGAAGCAGGAGTGGCATCCGCTTGCCTCTGGAAACCCTATGAACCTGGAGAAAGGACGAAAGTTATACAGGTATCCAGGTCTTTCATTCATAGGGTTATTATGAGTCACCTCCGACTTGATGGCACTTAACAACAACAATGCTGCCAGGTCAATACCAAAGCATTGTGACCGTCCACTAAGTTTCAGGACCCCAGTTCACATGGAGCCCTGTCTCCACTTAGGCCTCCGAGCTTCTGTTAGGAATATCTGCTACTCCCACCAAGATCTGCACCTGGGGGTCTCCACCTGGACCTGCCAAGGCTCACAGCACTGGTCCTCCGACACGTGAGGTGCAGCGTACTAGTGTGTGGGGATTCAAAGCCAAAGGACTGGCAACTTGCCTGAGCTGTTGCTCTCTCAAGTCTCAGTGGTCAGTGACTACTGGGCAAGGGCCTGCAGCTCCAGCGCCATCCCTTTCCAGGGCTACTTGACTTCCCAAGTGAATTGTTACACACTTCTTATCAGATTCTAACTCCCACTCCCACCATCCTCCTGTCTGTATCAATCAACACCTTTTCTGGGCTCTGACGAACATCAGGACTAGATGCTTATGCCCCATCGTTCTCCTGTGGTGTGGCGAGCAGACTCAAACTGCCAGCCTTTCAATTCACAGAACATGTAACATGTTACATCATCAGAGTGCAAAACAGGAGAAGAATGTGGCAATGCATAGCCACACCACATTTATCCTTGGACCCACCATTAGAAATTAAAAAATATCTTTTGCATAAATAAGGCTCTCATGGATTTGCCTGAACTCCACTCCACTATGATGACTTCCAATACACACAACTCAAGTACAAACACTTGTTATAAAATAACGTACAAGATGATTTATAATGAAAGTTCTACACTATATTATGTGTTACTCAATGATAGAAAGGCAGAACATTAAATGAGCATAAGATTTCAGTCCGAAACATTTCCCCACTCCAACAGTGAGCTTGGGTAATGAGAGTCTGGATGACAAAGAGTAGTGTACTTGGTTTCTGAGCCTTAGAAGAGGATTCCTGAGATTACGGATTATCTAAAAATAAGAGACTATGGAAAATTAATCTGAATGTGTATCAGAATCACCAAGGGACCTGGATGGGGAAGTAGAGTAGGAGTTTGGATGTGAGGTATACCTTCCACATATATATGTTGTTGTTGACTGCCATCAAGTCGAGCACGACCCATAGCGACTCTATGAACAAAAGACCTAGTGCCTTTCCACAGCCATCGTTGTTTCTCCAAGTTCACAGAGTTTCCAGAGGCATGTGGTTTAGGAAGTGGGTGCCACTTGTGCTTCCAAACCTGTTTTACAGCTGGGAGCTCCACCAAACACTGTCTACTATGGGAAGCAATTCTGGTATTTGATACTCCCATAGCACAAGGTTCAGAATCATAGCAAACCCAAGTTATTTCACAAAGCACACTGACAAAGGGTGATGTGCAAAGTGGAAGAATTTTCCTCCA